ACAAGATAGCTTGAGCGATAAAAATGAAGTATTTATTGTTACATATATAAAATATAACAAGTTGACACGATAATTTACAAACAGTAGATAAGTTAGAGTAAATGTAGCTAAGTTTATCAAGCGAGAAAGGTACTTCTCATGGAAGACCACAAAAAGCAAATGAAACAAACATGACAAAAACACACATATAAAAACACTTTGTAGAATCTCTTTAGAGAATAGTAATTCATTTTTATACGCCCACATGAAATGGGGGAGGCGTATATTGCCATCAGCCATGTCTGTCGGTCCACAATTGCTTATAAACACTCTACAAGGCACAATTCTTGACTGATTTCGACAAAACATGGTATGATTTGTAATCACCCAAGGATGAACCCTATTAAAATCCAAAAAATCGAACAATATTTAGTGTGAGTTATTGCCCTTGTTCTTAACAACGCATTCAAAATACTAGAAGGCCCAATTCTTGACAGATTTTGATGAAAATTAGTAATATTATCATGTATGACTGTAGGTTGAATATTTTGTACTGGTAATTGTAATTTCAAATATTTCTATTTAAAATCAAAGCTGCAAGTGGGCGTATATAGCAAGCTATCTTCTTATTTTACAGATCTGGAAAAGGCAGGATTAATTTATTACGTCTTCAGTATTGAAAAGTTTCTGAAAATGATTTTTCCTATCTTTAACTGGTCTGGTTTAAACAGGAAAAAGCTTGTCCTACAACAGCCTGGGGAATGGGCAACACTCTCTATTCCAACATATATTTAAATCTTACATATTAGTAGGAACAATCGGTGGTGATAAGTTTGTCAAATATGCACAAACACTGAAAATATCACTGACACAATGATTTAAAGATAATGGGAGAACACCATCCAAAATATGAAAATTCATTAAGCGTCCTATGGCACGTCCAACATGAATGCGAACCTCAGCTATGTCTCTGGTTTGCTGAATCTGATTTTCAGAAAACTGAGAATTTTGTCCTAGAAAAGGCGGTATATTACGAAATGCTGATCTCTCATTCAATAGGTCCTCAATTGTGAAGCCTTTATCTGCCATGATATTGTCTCCATTCTTAATGAGGTCAAGGAATCCACTCCCCTTTACAATTTCTCTGTCTGAGACTCTTCCTCCCCGTCCTTTTGAGACAAAAGTAAAAAGTCCACCGGGAGATATACCTACTAAAAATTTCAACGTATTGTGGTGTTTGTAGTTACTGAAAGTTTCATTCTGAGCTGGAAGTGTCGATGGTTTTTCTATAAACACTTCTGTGCAATCAATGACAATTCTGGTGTTCGGATACTTCTTAAATGCTGCTGGGAGAAATCGCTGAACCAGTGCTTTTGATGGATAGGGATTCAGAATCACCAACTCTTTCTGTAAGAGTATTATCCAGGTGTTGAATATCTTGGAGTATGTTCCCAAAGAAATTCCAAAACGGTCTGCAATGTCTTTCACAAAGAGGCCAACCTGAAGAAAAAATTTTTGAGTATTTAAATTAGAACTTCATTGTCACACAAATCTGAGAACAGCCAAGCCCTTACTTTCAAGTAGATCAGGCTTTTGCTTTAGCCAAACTGCTGACCTGAAATGCATGTAGACAAACATATTTCAAATATATGTATATTTTTTACCAATACTTGCAAGCATACCTTCAAACGCATTAGTACTGATAAGAACTGGTCAATGAGACTGAGTTTCTGGCTTCTGCATCTTTGTCGTTCAGCTGTTTTCTTTTCTCCATTCCAATAGGTCAATCTATTCGCTTTTGGTTCCAAATATCTAAGTCAAAATGAAAGAATTAACAAAAACAATCAGGTAAAAAATCTTAACAAGTGTTCTATTGTTCCTTACAACATAATTGGCATCTATTCATTATATATATCAATAATATAAATCTGAAAGAGTACAGGAAGTTTTAAATTGTTTTGTCAAAATTTGCAGTCAAAAATTAATCAAACTTCATTTACTCAAAAAAAATCTTTTTGTTTCACTAGCATTATTGGTGTGTAAATGCAGTTGATCAATTGATAAACTGAATAAATCAGGAAGTTGTGACAAACTACAGTTTGTGCAACTGGTTCATTGAAGGGAGTGATAGTAGAAATATAAATATTACCTGAACAGCCACATAAAAACAGCAAATGTAGGGAGCCCTGTATAAAACTGAGTTGCTTTATCATCTCCACTTATCTTCTCGCTGGACCATTGCCTTGTTTTCAGTTCCTCTACTTCATCCCTGAGAGATTCATTTTCAGCCTTTAAAGTGTTGATCTCTGTCGTAAGGTTATTATCTGTCATTGTACCTTTAAATGAAAAGACAACAGTTAAAACAAACATTAGTCTGCCAGAGGGTGTAAAATAATGGTATCAAATTCACATGGCTGCACAAACATATAAGCTTAAGCATTCTCGCTTTCAAGTTAAAAAAAAAGGAGAATTCAAAATTTTAGTGCAAATTGATGTTATCAATGTCCCTAATACATACATAAAATATTCTGAAAACTCCTTCAATATTAATTTGCATAGAGCTCATGTGGTTCTTTGAAAAATCACAAAAAATACCTATTTAGGGAAAACAATGTCTAAATATTACCTATTTCTCGAAATTCTCCTGATGAGTGTTGTTCATCCAAGTTTGTTTGAACTTCCTTTTCGGTACTACTCAACATCTGTTGTCGCTTGGCACACTGAAGATGGCGACCTGAAAAAACAAACCATCACACAAGTAAGCTTTCTGTACCTTTTGTCACCACATAATTTGTTTGCATTGCCACATTTGGGTTTTTCAAGTTACATAAGCTACTAAAGCAGCTTCTATGTCACCAAACATGAACATTTACTTTAGTCAACTATCTTTCCACCTCTCATTACCGGTTTCTATAAATGAAACTAAAGCATATGCATATAACATGGTAATGGTAGTAAATAAACTGTCTTAAGTGATAGCAAATAAAACACTAGTACTTACATGGATGAAAATATAGTCATGGAAATGGACAGATGTCTGTAACTGAGTCTCAGCAAATTGTTTCTGTAACTTCGCTGCTGATTCAAATGTCTGTAAAAAATAATATTATTTCATATATTGTGGGATCCGTACACCCATTGAAGACTGTTTGATCATATCAGATTTCCTTTTTGACTATTTACACACCTAATGTAGGCTATCACAGACAAAATGCACTCAACTGGGAAATATGAAAGACGCCTTCCAATAATAGGTCAATAAAGTGCACCTTTCATATTGGACGCATATGTCAAAATAACATAAAAATAAACTGAAGATTATTCAAGCGACGGTTTCTTCTCAGCACTATTTTCTCTAATTTCAAAAGTAGCTTGCTATGTTTGAGACAATAAATCACTTATTTCATCCGCAGCTCTAGCTCTTTTTTTTTTTTTTTTTTTCTTTTTTTTAATAATAATACCTTTTATTACATATAGATTATATGACAGGATACATAAGATAAATATGCAATAAGGAAAAAATATGCAATATTTAACAAAACAAAAAAACCAGAAAAAAAATTAAATTAACATAAATAGGCTTATTGTACAATATTATATTGATGAATTGAATTATAAATTTAAAAAAAAAAAAAAACTAAAAAAAAAACCCAAAAAAAAAAAACAAAAAAAACCAAAAAAAAAAAAACAAAAAACGAAACAAAAAAAAAGTACCAATAATTTCCCCTTTATGAGGGATCTCTGCGAAAGAGAAGCCTTAAGGATGTTTTTTTTTTTTTCGGGTGGTCCTTAAAATCATTAATCTTTTTTATATGGTCTTTCTCGCAAAAATTCGAAAATGAGAAAGATCTCAATAAAACAACAATATTCTTACGGGGGTGCATCACTATATATAAGATATCAAAGTAATTTAAATAAAGTAATTTAAAGACATAAAAGAAAAATATGCTGGGGGTATGTATTATTATTATTTACTCTAAAAAAAAAAATTATGGTTTTTTATAAACAAGACTAACTCCTTAATCTTTGCTGGTTAAGATATTTGTGAAAGCTTGTCGAGGAGGGTACATTATTTTCAATTTTGGTTTTGTAGATATAATATTTGGTTATCAAAAAAAGGTAATTTCTTAATTTCCAATCGTTCCCATTTCTGAATTTATCAGTTGAGATGATCCCAATATATTTATGTTTGGATATCATGTCGATATCAATATTGTTTGATAGTAAAATACCATGTAGTTCATTCCATATTGATTGACTATAGGTATATTCTATATATAAATGTTTCAGAGTTTCGGTGGGAGTTTCAATACTTGAATTACAGAAAGTACATAAACTGGATTCTTTAATTTTCATCTTACAAAGTTGCTTATTAGTCGCTATAATCCTATGTAGTAGTTTATATTGAAAATTTTGAAGTTTGATGTTGGGGAATATTTCGTATGGTAATAAAAATATTTTTGATATTTCTTCTTCGTTTAATTTATAATTTTAATCTTCTTCCCATTTTCTTATGGCTTTAGGTTCAGTATATTGTTCAGATTTAAGTTTATTGTATATATCCTTACATTTTATATCAGTTAGTGTTTTCTTATAAAATAATTCAAGATTTCTATTTGTGGGACTTTGCTTTCAGCAAAGTCCCAGTTTGTTATCGAAATGTCTATTCTTTTTTTTTTTTTTTTTTTTTTCGAAATTTACACACCTTCCTGTGCTTAGACTGCAATAGTTGCAGCAACCATTCAACTTTCCTAGACCTTCTGTAGTGGCAACGTGTTGCATAAATATAAATTGGAACATTTTTGCAAAACCGGAAATGCCACAGTCCAATATGTGCAAAAAGTAGAAAATCGGACCTAAAAGTCGCATTTTCCGGTCGATTTTCTTCGGGTTTTTATTTCTGGAATCTACGTGTAATTTCTGATATAATAGCACTTAAACAACTTCGAAATTCGAAAATTTGTCGCACACTTTTTTCGGCCGAATTTTGCAATTTTTTAACAAAAAAAAAAACTTTTTAGCTTTTTGTCTGATTAATCTAAAAAAATTTGAGCAAAGACAATTCATGAACGTGAACAAAATTGTATAGTCAAATTTTTTACTTTACTTCCGGTTCAAACGGGAAATCGATTCTCACTTCCGGTGGAACTACTTCCGGTGTAATTAATTTAGCGCGACGAAACTTATATGAATCGATAGCCAAAGTTATGACAAAAAAACGAAGAATATAAAATCCGGTCCGAAGGTAATATTTGGGTCGCCATTTTGATTTTAGAGATAACGGCTTATCCGATTTTGATGATTTTGGTGTCAAATGAAAGAAAATAAAAATTAGAAAAAAACTGTGGGAGCCGATTTTTGAATTTCGCTTTGGCTTTTTTGCTATTTCCGATTGAATTTTTTCGAAGTTTGAAGGCTCATATATCATGACCTAGACCTTTGATGACCTTGACCTTCATTGGGTCAAAGGTCATTGACCTTGGCTATCAGCTGATACTTTCATATTCGACCTCCGACATCTACTTCCGTTTTTATGGATGTCTAAAAACAGCCAAATTCGCAAATTTGGACTGCTCTAGCACGTGACCTAATTATCCTAGAGGGTTAATTTTTTCGGATTCTTAATGTGCTCTTCATACTCTTTCTAACGATATATCACAAAAGTTTTTAAAATCAAAATTGAAATTCGTACTTTTTTGATATTTGAGTGTTTTTTTTACAATATTTTTGTGTTTTTGAGCTTAGTGTATGTATATCTTTTGACCTATTTGATGTAGAAGTTTGAAATTTATAACACTACTAGACATTTTGAAAATGAATTAAATCATGACAAAAAAGTTCAGATGGGCGTGGCACATCCGCGTTAAATTGCTAGTTGTTCAAATCTGGGGCAGGGGCATAACTTGCATAGTCTACATTTGTTCAATAAGGGACCTTGCACACAAATACCTCATCTATTTGGCCAGTTTGTGTTTAAAGGACAGTTGTTTCAGATTTATAGTTCAAAAAAAGGAACGGGTTTTAGAATTTCCATATTTTCATTTTTTGACATTGACCTTTGATGAGCTTAACGTTTGTAGGGTCAATGGTCATTAACCTTGGTTATCTATTTATACTTTCATATTTGATGTCGGACGTAAGCTTCCGGTTTTGTAGTCGTATGCATTTTGAAAGTTTGATGAGTGATATCTCGTGACCTTGACCTTTGGTGACCTTGACCTTTACAGGGTCAAAGGTCATTGACCTTGGCTATCATTTGATAATTTGACATTTGACCTCCGACATGTACTTCCGGTTTTATAGCTGTCCGAAAAAAACAAATTCGCAACTTTGGACTGCTGTAGCACGTGACATAATTAACTTAGAGGATTAATTTTTTCGGTTTCCTAATGTGCTTCTCACGCACCTTACATTGATATATAACAATCGTTTTTTTACAGCAAAATTGAAATTCGTCATTTTTTTCAAATTTGAGGTTTTTTTTTTACAATATTTGTGTCTCTTTGAACTTGCAATTTTTGACCTTGACCTTTGTTGACCTAGACCTTTGTAGGATCAAACGTCATTGGCATTGGCTATCTTTTTGTACTTTCATATTTGCTGTCCTATGTCAACTTCCGGTTTTATAGTCGTGTGCAATTTGAAATTTTGATGACGTATATCTCTTGATCTTGACCTTTTTAGACTTTCTCTTTTACAAGATCAAAGGTCATTGACCTTGGCTATCTGCTGATACTTTCATTTGTGAGGTCTGACGTCTACTTCCGGTATTAGAATCTTCTAAAAAATGAAAATTTCTCAACTTTAGACTGTTCTTGCGCTTGATCTAATTATCATGGAAGGATGATTTTTTCGGGGTCTTTTGCAATTTGCTACATTTGCAAAGTCCCATTTCGGTTGTTTCCGCTTCTTAGTTCAAAAAAAGGAACAGGTTTTGGAAATTCAAAATTTTCAATTTTTGACCCTGACCTTTGATGACCTTGACCTTTGTAGGATCAAACGTCATTGGCATTGGCTATCTATTTGTACTTTCATATTTGCTGTCCTATGTCAACTTCCGGTTTTATAGTCGTGTGCAATTAGAAATTTTGATGACGTATATCTCTTGATCTTGACCTTTTTAGACCTTCTCTTTTACAAGATCAAAGGTCATTGACCTTGGCTATCTGCTGATACTTTCATTTGTGAGGTCTGACGTCTACTTCCGGTATTAGAATCTTCTAAAAAATGAAAATTTCTCAACTTTAGATTGTTCTTGCGCTTGATCTGATTATCGTGGAAGGATGATGTTTTCGGGGTCTTTTGCAATTTGCTACATTTGCAAAGTCCCACTCTGTGCCACGAGTGGCTCTAGTTATATTTGTAATTGGTTCATTGTCGTTTATGGTAATATCTGTGTCTTGTTCACTTAAGACTTTCGACAGTTTATGTTTTAATCCAGTGATAAAGAGCTTTGTATTACGATTTTCATAGTTTACACTCTGTATATGTTAAATTCCATTAACTAATAAAAGATTTTATAAATTTTTATCTTTATATATATTTTGATTCATTTTTATGTGTTTGTTATTCCACAGAACTTGATTCCTAATAGGTATTTGCTTTTCTAGTTTATTTGTATATACTATATGCCAATCATTGAAAAGTTTTTTTTTTATAAAATTTTGATAACATTAATTCTTTGTAATTATAGTTACAGGCTGGTAGTAATATTCCGTTTAGATCATTTAATATGTAGTTGTAGCATATTTTCCATGGTTGATCAGTTTTTGTGTACAGTTTTTTAACCCAAAAGGCACTCCTGCTTGTTAAAAATGTTTTTATATCACCCTTTTCGATATCTTGGGTTACAACTTCTCTTTTGATTTTGTCAGTGCCTACACCCCATAGAAAAGTGTAAAAAAGGTTTATTAATTTCATTTATAGTTTCTTCCGGTATAGTGATTACTGATGCGGGGTATATCAGTTGTGATAGGCAGAACGTTTTAATTATTTGAATTTTCCCTATAAGGCTTAAGTTCCTTCGCTTCCATGTGTTTAACTGATTTCGTATCTCTGTAAGTATTGTTTCATAGTTCCTTATTTGAGTTAGTTTAATCTAGATTGAAAATGATTCCTAATATTTTAATTTCCTTTTTTTGATAATTAATACCCAGTTTTTTGAAGTTTTCATTAAGATTTGAGATTCCACTATTAAGATCTAAAGCCTCTGATTTAGTAGCATTGATTTCTAGACCAGATTCTTTGGCTGAATTTTTTAAGTATTTCCACTAAATGCCTAGCCGATTTATAATCTTTAAGTAGGCATGTTATGTCGTCTGCAAAGGCTATGATTTTATGTACAATTTTACCAAATTTTATTCCTTGTAATAAGTTACTATTTCGTATGAATAAGCATAATGTTTCTAAAACGAGACATAGGGTCTCCCTGTCGTACTCCGCGTTCTACTTTAAAGTAATTTGTAGTAAAACCGTTGATCATTACGGTACATTTTACTATTATATAAAGTTTTAATCCATCGAATGAAATTTTTAGAGAAACCAAAGAAATCCAATTCTTTAATCATATATAGGTGACTTATACTATCGTAGGCTTTCTGAAAATCGATTGCTAGTAATATTCCGGTTATTTTCTTTTTATGAGCTAAATAAAAACAATCGTCTATAATTCTCCCGTTTTCTTGTATATGTCTTCCTGATATAAAAGCTGTTTAATTTGGGTGTATAAGATTAGAAAGAAATGGTTTAATTCTAGTTGTTAGAACTTTACTGATAATTTTGACATCTACATTTATTAGAGTAATTGGCCTCCAATTGGTTAGTACTGACTTGTTTTTTCCGGATCTAGGGATTAATTTAATTACTGATTGTCTTCAATATTTATTTTATTTTCTATACCCTCACTTTCTATTTATCTAAACATGGGTGATGATAATCTATTCTTATGAATTCATTTTTGTGCTCGTGTATAAAGATTTATAATAATTATGTATTTTATTTAAGATTTCATTTGGATTTGTTATATCTACTCCATTCTCTTCAAGATTTAGTATTGAGTTTCTCACGTTGTTAGTTTTTAATAAGTTTAAGAAGAACTTTGAGTTTCGTTCACCCTTTTCATACCATTGTGTATTTTTGATCTAATTATAGAACCTTGTATTTCATCATCATATATTTTGTTTAATTTATCTTTAATAATTTCTATTTCATTTTGGAAATTAGCATGGTTTCCTTCTAAAGCCAAATTTTCTAATTTTATTTCGAAACTTTCATGAATTTTGATAAGTTCTTTTTTAAGATTTCTTTTTGTACTTTGTTTTTTCTTTGAGTATTGTATTGTAAGCTCTTTTATTTTAAATTTTATATAGTCCCATAAACCTCCATAATCTGTATGATTATGGTATGCGTCAACCCATTTCTTGATTGAGCTTTCAAGTGAATTGTAATAGTTTTTGTCACCAATTAAGCTATTATTAAATATTCAATTTCCGGGTCCTTTCTTTAAAATTAACGGTTCGTATTCGCAAAAAATACCAAAGTGGTCGCTCAATGTATTGGGTATAATCTTATGATTTTTAATAAAATCTTGACTTAAGTCGTTCACGAGCCAATAATCTATCCTGCTATGAATAATTGGTTTGGATTGTTTCCACGTAAACCTTTTTGTTGTTGATATATCCACAAAGTTATGGTTTGACATAATTGAAGTAATAACTTTAAGGCCATTCTTCTTAATTAGATATGTTCTCACACTAAAACTACTTGCTGACTATCAACATAATCTAGATAACATTAGAAGATAGGCTTTGCTCCTAGAAAAACAGGGTAGATATACATATTAAGTACATAATACAGAAAAAAAAACCCAAAAAAAACATGCATTTTTTGTGATTCGACTTGACCTTTTATTGTGAACCCTGGGTTTACTGTTCTAATCGAAAATAATAATTAAAATGATAATCACTAAACAGTGTTGCAGTATTAATAGATAGTATGCGTTTTATAACCATAACATTCACTGACTCTTGAACACACTGCCATATATGTAGTTGAAAAAGAGATACTCTAACTTGCCACAACTTAATATACATGTATATCAGTTTTGCCTGGACACAGAATTTGTGGTTCCCTTGGTGCCGAGTTGACCTTTTCATCAAGATTGTCGAATAGTTCAATTTTAACTTTACGCTTTCCAGGGGCTTTGGCGTACACATTTCCGTTGAAGTACCACACCTTCTCTACACAGTTTGAATTATTTGCCCTATTCATTAATGGATCGTGAGAGTGCATGAAGCCGTCCGGTCTAAGCCCCTGGTAATTGGCCAATTCTATAGAGTTAATAAAACAGATTGATAATACAGTTGGTTCTTTTCTTAGTTTAAATTACTTAACATCTAATTCACTACATTTACTTTTAGTTATATACTTTTTACTTTTTACTATTTACTTTTTACTATTTGAATTCATGACAACACTGGATGCCATGACCGGAAGCATGGTTATTACAAAAAGTACGGATCAGATTAAACTTATAAAAATATAAGGAAACATTTTGGAACATGGACAGTCAATTCAATAGTCTCTTGCAGAACATTCTCCCCGCCGATGAGGCGTTAGTCCTCATCCAAATCAGATTCTTCAGTTGCAGGCAAAATTACACAAATTTTAGTAACAGGTCTATTATATTCAGAGTCTTTGGTTTTAACTTTAACGTTTCTCACACGATTATCAGCTCCGGGGTAAACTTCTAATATTCTTCCTAAAGTCCATTTTCCACGGATAGCATTTTGATTTTGAATTATAACAATGTCATTTACACAAACATTACGTTTTTCAGTGTTCCATTTTTTACGCGGTACCAATAGTGGCAAAACATCTCTATTCCATTGTTTCCAAAAAGAGTCAACTAATTTCTGAACAAATTCCACACGATGTCTAGGATTTTTAGTTTCACGAAAAGGTCCTTGTGGTACATGACTTGACGCACGACCTTACAGAATATCATTAGGACATATATAAGAACCATCATCAGGATCATTGGGTATTCTTCCTATTGGACGTTGATTGACGAGATTAGCACATTCGAGTAGGTAAGTATATAGTTCAAAGGAAGTCAGTAATTGTTCACCAACAGAAT